TTTCCATTTTCTAACCTTTTTAAATGCTCAAAACGGACAAAAGAAAAAAAATAATCTTAAAACTATTCAATAATGGTTTTACCAAAAGATCGTTGCGTGGCTCTCTACCATCCACCAAATCTTTCATGCCTTCCAACCAATGATCCAAAATCCCCCAGCTCACTGAAATGGTAGTTCATCATCCATGTCCATAGATTAATGACGTGGACCTCCGTTGTCCACCAAATTGCTCAAGCCTCTCAGAATTTGATCCTATATTGTTGGATAACTACTGACATGGCAGCCCGATGCCGATGTCCACGGCCTTTGGATACTAGTCGCCACTGTCGACAATGTCATTGTGTTGGGATCCAATCAACCACCAGTCATCTCCCCTTTTACTGTAACAACCAACTTGGCCTCGACCTCCGATCACAACCCTGTCTCGGCCTCAGGCTCTGACATCACCGACTTTGAAAACAAAAATATTTTATATTCTGGAAGGCCAAGGGATTTGAGCCTATAACCTCACAGGTGAAAACAAGCAACCGTAAATTAAACTAAATAAATTTCTATTTATACACGTGGCGCTGGCTCCCATCATGGAGCCAAAAAACGGATGAAAAATCGATATTTGGGCCTATGTCAGATATCGATTTCCATTTTAAAAAATTATTTAAAAAATTATATATATATATATACACACACACACACAAACACACATTTGACTAACTATAACCTATGTGTCCCTTAGCTAACATAGCTCCTAACTTCAGACTCTACAACCTATAAACATCATTGCAACTCACCACTGCCACCCACATGACCATTAAAGATTTATGTGGTCCACAACTCATGCAGATCCGGACTCCGGCCTCTGCGGCCTACAGTTGTTATCATTGCTCACCACTATAACCTATATGACCAACTGCAACCTGCCTAGCTTACAACTTATGTACATCTCAACTTTAGCCCGTGCAGTCTATGGACATCATCATAACTCACTACTACGACTTACGTGACTCATAGCTCATGCAGCTCCTAACTCCAGCCTGTGCGGCCTACAAACATTATTATAGCTTTCGACTCTATCCCCGATGGCCTATGAATGTCATCATAACTTGTCATTATGAAATATATGACCCACTTTGGCCTATGTGTCTCATAGCTCATGCAACTCCCGACCTCAGCCCCTGCGACCTATGAATGTTATCGCAGGTCACCACTATAGCCTACATGACCAACTACAACATATGTGGCTCATAGCTCATGCAGCTATTGACTCCTACCTTTGCGGCCTGTGGACATCATCACAACTCACTATTATGACCTACATGACTCATAATTTCTACAGCTCCCAATTTTGACCTGTTCAGGCTACGGACACCATAACAATCCATCACTACACCCTACGTGGCTCAGAGCTCATGTACCTACCAACTCTACCCTCTATGGGCTATGAACATTATTTCAACTTCCAACTTTGGCCTCAATGACCTAGGAATGTCATTTCAGCTCATAGTTATGGCGTATGTGACCAATTACGACTTACGAGACTTACAGTTCATGCAGCTCTTAACTCCAACCCTTGCGGCCTATGTATGTCATTGTATCCCATCACTACATCCAACATGACTAACTAGAACCTACATGGATAACAGCGTATGCAGCTCCTAACTCTTACCTTTGTGGTCTACGCACGTCATCACAACTCACCACTACAGTCTACATGACCAACTAAGATATGCGTGGCTCATAACTTGAGCAACTCTTAACTCCAACACCTATAGTTTACGAATGTCATCACAATTTACCACTATGACCTATGTGAACAAATATGACTAACGTGGCTCACATCTTGCACAACTTATGTCTCTGACTGTTGTGGCATACGGATGTCATCACAACTAAGCACTATGACCTATGTGAACAAATACCACCAATGTGGTCCCAAGCCCATGTGGCTCCCAACTCTGTCTCTGTAGTCGTCACTATAATTTTCGACTATGGCCTACCCAACCAGTTGCAGACTATGTTGCTCACAGCCGTTGCAACTTCATACTACAATCTTTATAACCAACCAATGCTCTCGAATCAACCATCGAGGCCCTACATAGTCAACTGCCAAATCATTTAATTACAACCTCTACAATAAACTCGTGCTACAACTAGTATCTACAACATTTATGGTGGACTACCGCCTTCATAGTTATCGACTATGACCTTAGCAACATGTTATAGCATGTATTGGGAACTACCACTGTATATCAACTTTGTAACTTCATCTTTACTATTGTTTGATAATAGCGAACCAATCTACTCACAATTACATAATAGATTATTTCAACTGGGCCAGAAAACGTGATTATTTCCCTTTCTTAGGGCTTCCCACATAAAAATTGAGATGTCCCCTCCTGCTTACTTCTCTTTTATTTGTGTGTGTGCTAGATCTTCGTTCAACACTAATACGCTAAATTATTACTTCTATTGTCGCTGACCTACATAACAATTGAGTGGGTTGTACGTAAATGTTCCTATATAATGTTAATGAAAAAAGAGGTTATAAAACATATTAGCATAAAAATATAAAGATCCCATTTTTTCTGCCTATTCATTATGATCATTTTTAAGTTGAGTTTTATTTTATTTTTCTACCTTTTGAGAAGTAAAAAAAAAATCATCTTTAAGCCAATAAAGGTTAATTTGACCATTAGTATGTAAAAGTACGGGTTTAAATCATAGTAGTTTTACTTCTATTCAATTCTGTGTGAAAATAACGTTAAAAATTCGAATCAACTCATGAAGTTTAAGATTGTTATTGATGCCCGACTATATCAAATAGAGAGATGAGTTTAGCTTTCTTTTTATTTTTGAAATAATATACGTAATATATATTTTCAAGTACATTTTAATGTGTTGGTTGAAAATAAAATGTAAAATCTTAAGGTTGAAGATTCAAACGCTCATCTTGTCGGAAAAAAAAAAGAATTAATTATTTAATAGAATTAGAAATAAAGGGGTTCACCAAATAATTATTATACAACCAAAGATACATCATCAAAAATGGGGCATTTACATAATTACCCTCAAATTCCTATGCATTTACATATCTTACCACCTAAACTTTGATTTTTAATTTTATATCACCCAAAATTTTCATATCACATCCAAATTATTATTTTTTTAACTTTTAAATTATGAAATACAATTTTTTTTTACATAAATAAGATGATATAGATACAGTTGTTAGATATGTAAATGCATAAGAATCCAGTGATATACATGTAAAATGTAACTTGAATAAGTATGTTTGCTCTGGACTGCTAATGAAGTCAAGATCAAGTTGATGACTTTAAATGATGGAATATGAAATTAATTAGTCGAAGTTTCATAAGTATTTTGGTGGTGTACACTGGCGATTGTTGCAGAAAGGAAAATGGGTGGCAATGGATGATGATTTAACATTTTTATCATTCTATATAACTCTTTTCTGCTCAAAGTTTATAATGTATGAAAAGAGAAGATTTGATGTCAATATATAAATTTTAAGTGATTAGGTCCTTATTTGAAATTATCTTAAAATATAAATTATTTTCATTAACAATGAACATACAAAATTTTGTTCTTATTTGATAAAAAAATTGTTTAGTGGTGAAGCGGAAGGCTAATAGTCAAAGATTAGTATAATTTGCAAATGCCATCAAAACCTTCAAGCAATGAATAGAAGAAACTATGTTGAAGCTTTTGCTCGTCGTATAATAGAGTTGATTGATCGAAATTATAATAATTGGAATGTTTAAAAGAAAACTTGAGCATATGTTGAATTATACTATCACCAAAAAATGAGAATGGTTGGAGAATATTTTATTATCCTTCAGAAAACATTGTTGATTTTGCCCTCTTTTATCTTAGAGAATGTCCAGAGCTCTCTTCCTGCACAGCCTAAAAGTATTTGAAGTAAAAAAAGTAGACTTTTTTGAGATTCAAGCTTGTTTTGTCATGGTGAGTCAATAATTTTTTTTTAAAGATAGTACCAGCCAAACCATGATTTTACTACAGTATGATTTAGTGTTATGGTGGAGAACGGTTGAAGATACCCTTCCTGAGAAGGAAGACCTAAGGGATGTTCGATATATGGGAGGTGACTCCAATGTAAAAATGTTTTCTATAGTTTCTCCACCTTAAAGTGTAACAATTTTTTTTTGTGTAAGTTGTGCGTGAATCCTCGATGTGATGAACACTTTGATGTGAATATAAGCTCCAAGTCAAACCATGTAAAATCATTATACAACCAATATAAGTTATTTGAAATAACTTTGAAAATTAAATTGTGAAAATCATCATGACTTCATGTTAATTCCTCAAGCGAGCCTTGGCTAGCAATAACGGGCTACACTTTATAGAACCAATGATTTCAAATAAATTGAAATTGAATTATACAATGAATTAGAAAGGTATTGTAATTGAAATTATTTTGGCTAACTGCCTGGATTTCTAAAACTCCTTCACAAGAACTGCAATGCGCTCCTTTTACAGCCGGCCAAACCAGCCCTTGTCGATTTTCAAGTTCAACATAACTTTTTATTGAAAAGTATGATATTTCTATTGCAGATAATAGATATTTGGTAAACTTAAATTGAATCAATCAATATAAGTTCTTTTTTGCAAGACATTATATTTTTATTCTGAAATATGCAAAATTTATGTAATGGATTGATCCTCAACTATTCAAGTAGGATAATTTTAAATTAATATAATTAAAATACACATATTTATAAAAATATATATTTAAAAAAAAAACATTTATTATTTGACCCTTTCTTTTTAATATATCGAACACACTTTCATATTTACATGCATAACATAAATTTTAAACATCACATAAAAAATATGACTTACTTTTTAAGAGTATAGTACACAGTTTCGGTTTATAAAATCAAAGTGTTCCAAATATAAATATAAAAAATTAGAAGTCAGATATGTAAATACATAAGAACACTGATATGTATGTAAAATTGCCCCTCAGTTTAAATATCCCATCATATCATTCAATGGCTGCCTGTTAAAGGTAGCCTTTACAATCATAAACAAAGAAAATAGATGCCCAGCAACCAAAAAAAACTATTTTTTATCAATCAAGATAAATTCAACCAACTACATTAATATCACTAAAAGTTAAAACAAAACTTAAATCCCAAGTGTCGATTGGAACATTTTCACATTTTCCTTCAATAACTCTCCCCAAAAAAACTGAGTAATCAAATTGTAAGAAAATAAGCCTAAATGGCCCCATTAAGCTTCCCTTCATAAGCTCAACTTACAGAAAACCTGCCTATTATATGATCACAGAAGTTAAGCTTGATAAGACCACCAGAAAATTAATTCACCCATTGAAGAGGCTCACATTTCCACAGAAACTGACATTCAACCTATGGCCTTACACTTCTATCTTCTTCGAATCTGGTACAGGGCGACTCTCATGCCCATCACCGTTGTCAGCATCAGGTGAAGGATGTAAACCAGGCTGAACTCCAGCCTCTAACTTCATCCTCATTTCCAGCTCAGGTTCATTCACCAGTTCATCGCCATTGATAGCTTCAGGCGAAGGATTTACAGCAGGCTGGACTCCGTTTTCGTTGCTGTCAGGATGAAAATTGATCGGGAATTTAGTGACACGGGGTTTGTCAGCCAATATGTTCCGCTGAACTCGATCAATCAAAACTTTGGTGGGAGGTTCTTCCCTCAGTTGCTCGTCATCATAATCGTTGTTTACATAGTATCCCACTCTTATGAATTCCTGGCCAACGAAGGAGCAGGTCAGAAGCAGCACTGTCACACCAAGAATGTCCTCTTCACGGATCATCGAAGGGTCTGGCGGATCTGCCTGGAAAGTAGAATAAGAAAATGGTCACAGCCTCAAGCAAAAATGGAAGCACCCAATTCTTAAATATTTACATATCCAACACCTAAACATTCATAACTACAATGCACAAATCTTTAATATCACATCAAAAAAAAAACACTAATACCATTTTTTAAAAGTGAAATTCATACTTTCATGCATAGTTTTAAAACACAATGTGCTATTTATGTAAACAAGAAAGTTTAGGTGTGAGGTATGTAAATACAAAAGTATTTTGTGATAAGTATGTAAATTTCCCAATTTTAGAAGGTTTTAGGTCTGTAAGAATTTGCCTGAAAGACGAACCGGTAATTCCCCACATTGACTGGACCGACAAGCACACTCTCGAGAAGCTGGTCGTATTTCTCATCCTCGGCAGAGCCGACATATATGAGTTTCCATTCAAGATCTGAGAGTCAAGGATGTGGATTTTTGCTTTAGTTTGTAATACAGGTAGTGTTGGAAGTAAAACAAAGTTCAAATGAATTCATTAAATAAGGGGAAGTTTTGCATACGTACCACTTAATACCTATGTATTTACATATCTAACATCTAAATTTTAATTTTAGGTATATGCCACCTTACCTATGCATGAAAATGTGTATTTCACATTTAAAAATTAAAATAGTAATTTTTTTTAGATGATATGAAAGATTTGGGTGGTATAAAAGTAAAAAGTAGAGTTTAGGTGTTAGATATGTCAATTTATAGGAATTGGAGGATCAATGCCAAAGAATCATGGAAACCTTCCAGAGCACTTGGCGCTCAAAAACCCCAACTTGATTGAACATAAGCATTTCCTTAAGAATAAAACAACTACAGTCCTATTTTCCTTTTAAGGTTCTACCACTGATTAATTATAGTTGCTACAAACTAATTCTCAATTTGAATTATTGCTAAAAGGAAAGAAAGAACCGTGTTCAACTCTAAAAAGTGAAGGTTGTGTATCATTCGCTAAAAAGCCCACTATTTATAATAGGAAAGAAGCGTATCATTCGCTAAAAACCCTACTATTTATAATAGGAAGAAGAATACAAGGCATAGCGAAATAAAACTACACCACTAACTCAATATAGAGCATCATCTATTCACTTAATATAAAAAAAATACATATACTTAATATCCCGTCTAGCTTGAGTATTATCAGGCAATTCCAACTTGCTATGTAATCAAAAGAAAGAATGAGATCCCACAACTTCTATAAACTATCAATCTTTTACAACGAACTAATGAAATGAGTGGCAAACTTTTCAGACAAATAATCGAGTATAATCTATAACAACATTTTCATCTGTGAGATTAACTTGCCTGCAAAAACTAAGCTCTCAATCAAAGGCGGAACCAAAATTATTTTTTAGGCCGGGAAAAATCACCAAATGTCTAGATCTTTTCAAGTAAAATATATCAACTTTCCTAGACTACATTAGAAAATTATATAAATTTTACTATTTATATATAACCCAGTTCCACTCATGCTCTCAATGCTTTTATTTTGGAGTTAATATATGCTAACTTGCCGCTATGACAATATATGAAATACAAACCTAGTTATGGTTGGATAAATCAACTTTCCTACCGGTGTTTGATATCAAAATAGATCATCAAAGAATTTCTCCTATTTGAAATGATATGAATATCCACGAGAATAACAATAGCAATTTCCTCAAAAATATTTGTAGCTTCTTCCCCTAGAAGTGAGAGCTCCCTTTTACAACAAGCAAATTCAATTCAAAGAAAATAAATTAAATGTTCAAGATCTTTAGCTATTAGATACACTTTTTTGTCATTCTTGATAAAATATCAACAACATGAACAAGATGTCTATTGTGAAGATGGCAATAACTTCACAAATATTTTCTAACCAACAATGTACGAATTTAAGCCCATAAATGACATTCTCGAGTAAATCTATGTGATTTCCCCCTGAAGAGCGTAACCAAGTGGTTGCTTCATATAAACAATCTTATTCAAATCACCATAAAGAAAACATTACTCACATCCATTTATGACAAATAACAACCTTGATTGATGGCCACAGATAAAAGAATTTGTATGGAATTAAATCAAGCAACAAGGGGGATGTGTTAAAATAATTTATCCCATAAAGATATGTTAACATTTTGGCAATCAATCAAGCTTTATATTAATTAATCAAGAAATCATCATGAAATTCAACGGTGAAGTCCAAGTGAGTTTTTTTTAACCCAAATAGAGACCAACTAAACATCATCCATGATGACTGTGTAGAGCGCTCATTTTAATATATATAGCCTATTACCAAAAAGAATTTTGCTTTTGATAAGTTTTTGAAATAGAGAGATGGTAAAGACAATGAAAATTTACAGAGGAAAAAATAATTGATTTAATGGCACATAAGAATGAATGGGATAGGCAACAATTGTTGAAAACCTTTTCAAAGAGCGATGGGTAAATGCTACTTAAATAGATTGTCAAAATTTAAAAGGAGATGCTTTAAGAGGTGAATGAGGTTGTGCAAAGAAAACAATAGGGGCAAGGAGGCAAGTGGGCGTTTTTGCAAAAAGAGGAATCAGTCGTGAAGGTACCTCAAATAAAGATAAAAAAAGGTGCGGTCTCACTGAAAAAGACTTCATCCAAAGCACATATGTATCAAGCAAGACGATCATACGTTTTATATCCTTTGTTAAAGCAAAAAAGGGGCATCTATACATGTAGTAGATTCCATCAGCTTCAATATATCAGCCAATTATCTTCCTCAAATTGAGATTATGAAAAAATGAATGAGGAATATAAAGTTACGAAGTAGTTATGAGTTTTAGTAAGCCTGTGAATAGATAATAGGTTTGTTAAAAATGAAGTCATGTATATTCTTAACACAAAGCAAGTGTGTACATGTACAAGCATACAAGGTTGAGTACAAAAGCAAAAAAATAGTAGCATGTTCAGCGATAGCATTTTAACTGGTCAAGAGTATGGTTTAGCAGCTTTTTAAAAAAATTACAATGTGACATGCTCCTTTATGGGTACATATGAGGGAAGGGGTGTAAAAAGGCTAAGCTTGAGCAAGCCCAAAGCTTGTACGCATTTGACTTGCTCGAAATTTATTTTTTGTTTGAAATGAGCTTCTGCAGATAACTCATGAATAACATATTCATATTCAAGTCCATTCAAATTTGTTTGCTTGAATTGGCTCAAGTACGGTTTGACTTTGAGCTCAACAACTAGAATTCCCACGTGGGCCTGGGGATATACGAATTAAAAGGCTATAAGCAAAATTCTCCTTTGATGCGGTACTAAACAAATATAAGAGAAAATCTAAAGAAAAGACTACTAATATCAGTTACTCATGAATGATTCACGAACCATTAGATTGTTCTCCATATTTTTTGGGTATTTACATACATACCAACCAAATCCTATGTATTCACATATCTAACACCTCAACATTATTTTTCACATTTGTACCATGCAAATCTGTTATATCGTATTTTTTAAATACAATTTTAAAAATTAATATAAAAGTATATAAACAAATATTATTACTTAAGTATTTAATTATTTCAAATCAAATGAAGTTGAGCACGAACGAAAAAATAATTGTTCATGTTCTACTTATTTATAAATTAAGCTCAAAAATATTATTAATATTTGGCTCGCTAACTTAACGAATGAATCAAATGAGACCTACTTAACAAGTTGAACATGAGTTATTTGCAAACAACATGTTTTTTTGACATCACCTCAAAGAGAGCCTCGTCTCAATTCTGATGAGATATACATAGTTAGATCTATAGATTTCTTTAAATAAATATAAAAAAATAATTCTAATAAAAATTCCCGACCAATGTAATACACAGCTGATGTTATCGTCAATAGTCCTTATTTTAAAATTTAATAAATATTATTATAAATTAATATTACTTAAGAGAAAGAAAATTGAAATTTAAAATGAGGAATGAGAGAACATAAATACAATGGTGTACAAAAGAGGGTAAAAATATAAATTGTTAGACTAATGGTTCTAATGAAAGCTCATCAAGTAATAAAATTGATGGAGACTTTTGAATTTAGAAATTCTAACCATAGCATCGTGTTATATTTTTATTTTGATGGGTAGCAATAGAAGCATGAGAGAGAACAATTGTACCAAACTTATTTTGAATTATTAAATTATTATGTCATACTTTGATGTTTATATAATCATTCTTATTTTACGATTTAAAATTTGAATGTTTAAAAATTACTTCTTAATTGAAAATTTTATTTTATTTTACCATATAAGCATGTTAATATATTACATCTTAACCTATTAATATGTTAGAATGTAAAAATGTTACTTCTTATTACATAATTTAAATTTAACAAGATACTTCTTGTTTTGCACAATTTAATGATTATGAGGCTTACTACTAAAAAAGACGCAACGCTTACACCTCGCGCACAGATGCAAACTGCTTCAATATCTAATTGCACAATTTTAAACTTAGTCGAGTATACAAATACAAGGAAAAAAACATGTGGCTTGATGATCCCAAAAATAGGCAATCACAATATTAAAAACTATGTTGTCCGAAGAATAAAAGCTGGAGAGAAGTTTGCCAACCAAAAAAAAAACACATTGTTTTGCCTACGTTAGAGAGTTGGATCAATAATGGACAGTATTGAAGGACTAATCCCATTCTTGCGCAAAAAACTATTATTATCATTTCATCGAATAATAAAATATATGAAAATAAAGTGCAGATATGATGGGGATTATTTTCTTGAAAGTATGTCAAATAAAAAAAGATCTCATATTTTATTTTATAGAATATTAAAGCATTATCTTTGTGACAATGGAAAGTTTAAGATTATATAGCAAGCAAGTAAGAACAATATTGTCTGAAGCCTTCTCATTTTAAATACTTAACAATATCATCGCTATTTGAAAAAAAGATATCAATGATGGAGTTCTTTCCTAATAATATTTCAGAAGATAATTCCAAATAAAATGAACATGGGGAAAGAAAGTTTTGCTTTTAAGGAGAGAAAATCTCAGAGTAAAGCATGAAAATACTAGGCATATTACTTTCCCGAAAATAGGTAGAATAAAGTCTCATGTCATCTTTATTGAGTCATGACACATTTAACTTAGGTCATTCAAAAGGTTTACAACTATTGAACAACCAAGTAATAATAGCATCATTGGATATTTGAAATTTAGAAAGTTTGATGGTGTCATTATTATCTAGAAATGCTATATTAAAAAATTAGTGTTCTGCATTGAGAATTCACAAAATTGTGAATGGCCCTAAAAAAAAAAATTAAAAAAAAAAGTTGATAACAATGAATTTCACAATATAAAATGCATTGAAGAGTTTTATTAAGAGTAGAATGAAAAGTATTGACCACACTAAAAAAAAGAGTCGTAGCAAAGGCTTAACTCAAATT